AGCTTCCCATGGAACTTTGAATGGAGATCGATAGAGTCTCGGATGCTGATTACGAATATGCAGATTAAAAGTGCTACGGGGACCTCCCAGACGAGTTCTGGGCGGTCAAAGTTTGCGAAAACTCAGTTTTGGCTCGTAAGAGCTGCTGATCGATTGCTAGGCAGTGCCACCGTGGCCTAGTGGTAACGGTCTCGCTTCAAAGGCAAATGCTTGTGGGTTTGCATCCCGTTGGCGCGAAAGTTTTTGCTTCGTCTCCTATGAAAGCTTTTACTCTAATTTTCAAAATTCTTCCGAGTTTACGACCCAGCAGAGCAAGTAGATCAAGTAGATCAAGTATATGACGTACTCGATCGAGTATGGATTTGGTCACTATCTGCCCTCTCTGAACTCATTACCCATCCGACAATTCGAAGTTTCGGCCAGAAACTGATTCCTGAGGGTAATTTGACCCCTGAACACGAATATCACATTCGTTTGACGGGAAAACGCTTGTTTTCACGTTGTTGTGATCTTCTTCTGGGTTGATGGAATGAAACTCTTCTAAGTCTTTTATTTCTCGGCGACGTTTCGGGCCTTAAGCCCTTCTTCAGGCTACAAATATCACATATGTACAAAGCCTGCACCAACAATCCTACTATTACACATACATCGCAAGATATTCGAAGAGGGAAAGCAATCAATTAATTAACAACTGACCGACTTCCTACAGGGGTAGGGCCTGGGTTGGAGTGGGTCCGGGATGGAGTGGGTCGGGAGTTTGCTGCAAGATGGTTGAATGATGGGCGAAAACAAGGAGTACGCGACATTGACCTACCTCCCCAGCTGTCCTTTCCTATAGAAATGAGACAGCTAGAAAGACGAAGCAGTGGCAAGATGGTGATACACTGCTATTTGTCATATGTCACGTATCACCAGTGATGTCACATCACGGTGCAAGCAATTAGCTTCCATGTGTCCCTTCCCAACTCCTCCTCTGTTTTTGATTGGTGGGTTCCTTCTTCGAATTTCCAACACCTCCATTTTCCTCTCAACCGGCTCACATATGCAACAGGGTTTTGAGTAGTGCGCTCAAAATTGCAAAATCCTTTTTCCAGCGTTTTAAGGATGTTCTGAAGTGAAACTTTGTGAGATACTGTAGATAAAGCTCTTTTGGGGGAATTACATTGTCTATCAATTTTTTCGTGCCGTTTCATTTGGGGTTCTGGGAATGATGGTCGTTTCTTGAAGAAAAAGTGTCATTCGTAAATTTCGTGCGTTAGTATTTCTCTGAAACATGACTAAATCGCTGGAAAGAAGCGAAACACCTGGCTATCTAGGATGCCTTTGTTAGGGTGGTGACTGCAGAGTGGAGGGGATTGTGTGACATCTAATCCTTTTTATGTGGGGAGACAGCAAATTTCCCCTAGCCGTCGGTACTCTCTCCTCTCTCTCACTTGGATCGGTTAGACGGTGATAGCGGGTTCATTTTTAGGATTACTAATTACTAATTAGTGACCTACCAGTGGGAATTTTGGTACCAGTGAATCACTAGTGGCCTCTGGAAAGGTAAAAGAAAGGATGAAAGCAGGATTATGGTTCGAATCCCCTAGGCTCGGTTTCTAGGTGCATTCCCAATGTACAATGTTTATTTCCTTGTGTTCACATAGGCCGAACAAAAACAATATGAACAAAAACGTGTCCATGAACACCCGAATTCAAACAAAAAACTGAGGTGCTTTCTATTGCCGAGTTCTTCGCGAATTCGTTGGACATTTCTTCGCCCCTCGAGTTCACATGATTTTTGGATTCACTTTTTCCTTTGTCAGTTCCCATTACTATCCCTAGGCGGACTGTTTACACTGTGTTGGGTATAGGAACCATAAAGAACTCACTCTAAGCTTGAAGTGTTTTGAATAAGTGCTGATTTTCCTACTTCATTTTGATCAAGTACACACTTTTCTCAATGTACTATGCTAATAACTAGCGTTATCTCCATTTTCTACTTAAGTAGCTCATTCCTCACCGTTCTTCTCAGTATCACCCTGCTCACGCTCGAGGCAGGTCGACCGCTCCTTTAGTTGATGAGTCACTCTGCGTGCCTCCCAGCAGCGCTCTCCCGCCTGGTGCCTGGCCTCGAGAAGGAGACTCAGAGAAAAAAAACGGATTAGTTGTCCTAGGACGAGTGGAGGGCATCAAGCTCGTTGGCGACGCTACGGTGCGATAAAGTGCAATCGTACTCTTTCTCTTCGAGTAGATTGTTGCTGTAAGGGACGTCATCTTCGACAACTTCAAGTGACTGGTGTTGTTCGTGTCCCTGTGCGTCACTGTCCTCTGGGTCGTGTTCACAGCTGTTTGTCTTCTTCTCAGACATATCTGAAACCGACATGGCCTACATAGTGTTGGGAAAGACCGATGGCATTCGTTATAACAAATGCAATAAGAAGAATTTTAGCTTATCCAACATGAACAGTTCACTGATATGTACGGTAGGAGAAGTCAGTGTGAATGGCCGTAAAGCATCTGATACTATGACATATGACTCGACTTGTGTCGCCTTATGCGTCTCTTCGAGTGATGGCGAGTCCGCCTGGCATCTTGTATCTCGTTCCTTGTCTTGTCATTTCATACTCGTTTCCTTGATCATCTTGTAATTGTAGCGCCTGGAATGATTGAAAAAGAGCTGCGTTAGGCTTCAAAGGGAGCGGACAAAGTGAGAAGACTTACACTGAGAAAACTCACACACACGTATATGCGCTGCACATATGCAGCGTCTCTAGGGGCTCGGAGTGCCGTATTTATACTACTGAACTTGGGGGGGTGTAAATACCGGTTTGTGGTAGAAGTACTACCCTGATGCCTTGATACTATTGGCCGGTTACGACGATGAGCGCCCTTTTTTGAAAATATGTTTTTGTAATCTGTACATCCAAATAATCATGAGAAGGGTTATGACATGAACTCTGCGTTGAATTTAAGTCGTTCGTTTCGAGAAGGTACGGGAAGCTACCTTATTTTTAAGCTCGAAGTGACTCATTCTGTATCGCCACGTTTACGTTTCCATTCGCGCTTGAGAATGAAATGATGTATAAAATTCGATATCGATCTGAAAAGTGGGAGTGTTATATCATTGCGAATTTCTTTGATTTCTTGACGAACTGTAGCCATTGCAGTTTGCTTTATGTCTCTACCAGCAATGACTTGCGGAGAGACAGATTTGTGTCGACATGAATGGGAGCTGAGAAGTCGTCGAAGGCATTTTTTGCGCCACCGCCGCTGTCGGAGGACGTGATGAGGACGAGCCTTTCCTTCCCCTTCGATGGGCCTCGCTGCGCCTCTCCATTTGTCTTCAGATTGCTTCGGTATCGTCAGCATTGCATTCGACGCACATCGCGATATCTTCTCCGGCGGTGTGCTTGTTTTTGGACATCAGGAAGTTATTCATCTGAACGTGATCGCATTTCAGCGCGACCGCGTCCGAAAGAATAGAATGTGACGTTGTATTATTTTCAAAAACGAAATTTCCAACTGTAGGAGATAAAATGGTGCGTATAAGGATAGATGACCGGCTCATTGGTAGACTCTGGCGATGAGAAGCAGTGGGAACGATAACATCGTAAGTTGTGAGCTGGTCGTCTTTGGCTTTTCATGTTTGCGTTCGAGCTTGATCGTAGGACTGATAGGATATGGCGAGAGCAGCCATGACAAATGTCAGGGAAAGAAGAAGAAACAAAAGTTCCGACTCACGATTTTGGAAAAGTGTCCGACATCTGGAAGGCCGAAGATGGGAATTAATTATTGGTGTTAGAAGAACCGCTGGTATGTATTGGAAGAAGTTACATATCGGTCGTGATCCAGATATAAAAGGCAATAAACTTGTTCTTCGAAGTTTACTACAACGAGCTCGACAGATTCCCTTGAAATCTGCTCTCTTGGAGTAGAGCCAAGTTCGTTTTTATAGCCTCTGGTCAAACAAACTGCTACGAATCATTTATTTGCTAAGCCTCCAAAAAGTAATAAAAGGCGGAGAACATCAAACTGGAAAAAAGGAAAGAAAGGGGGGGGGGTGGTCGTAAACACACTCCTTCCAAAATCCTCAACGCATGATGTGCTCTGACCAGCGTAGGCAGGATGTACTTTGGTGAGGAAAGTGCTAAGCACCGAAATAATCGAGGGAGGTAGTAATTCCGGCAAAAGCTGCAATGAATTTTTCGGGTGCTTCTTCATGCTTTCACCACAATACTACGACTTTTTTGATCGTTGCAAGTGTTTCATTTCCTCTGTTTCTTAAAGGCAATTCCCGCGACCACACTTCATAGGTAATACAGTTCAAAAATAGAATTGCCCTGTGATTGTTGACTTATTGAAGGAGAAGGAACCACGAAAAAGCGCCCGCAATAAGACCTTTATTTCAATTGATCATGATCACCGGACGAGCGTAAGGTGGTCAAGATCAATTGTGAATTGCAAAAGGCGGCGATACACTGATAAGAGACGAGAGAGGCCAGAAAACGACGGGCGAGAGAGCGCAATGGCAGCGACACAACGACACGGTCATCGGAGGCCGGCATGGGCCTATCGGGCGCCAATACTGCTTTTAAAAGTTCATAAAAGCAGTATAAAGTCTGCTGTTGCCTGCTTGACCATACACGTTTATGAGGTCATAACCTTAATTTATCGCGGAACGTGCCTTTAAGAGGCTGTAGGTGGAACATTCATCCTATATGGCGTCACGTTTCGGCTGGGTCGTCATCTCCGTCAGTACACCGTCGGTCTCTGAAAACGACGACTTTTGAAACGTTAAGCCTTAGTGAATAAATGTACCACTTAACAACCACGTGAGGCAGAAGAAGAAGAACGTTTACACCTAACATGCCTCGATTGCAAGAAGAGAAAATTGGGCTACTTTTTCGACCGCCTTTTCTCTTCGTGAATGGATGATTGGAGATTTTTCAGCGAATGGTCTCCAACAATACAGACATCGTCCATTTCAAAGAAATTGTTTCTGATATGTTGGATCTGCTTCGTTTGTTGGATACCCTTGGCGTTACTGTTTACATCGATCAGTGTGCTGAAGCAGATCTGAGGTACTCAGTTCACAGTTCAGTACATGGGATGAAGTTCCCCACATTTTTTTAAATTCTTAGTGCATACTCGTTGTTCCAGGTACTACATGGAGCTACACTCAAATATGTTTATCACTGAAGACAGATCTCTAGACGACTATTATGTTAAATTAGTTGATGTTAGAATACTGGAGCCTGGCAACGTGCCTCGCGATATTATGGAAAAGTCTATTTGTCGTCTACTTCTGGCTACATACTCGAACACGGTAGGGCCGATACCGTTTGACTGCTTTCAGCCTTGAAAGTACACTCATTCCCGGAAAAGGAGAGGGCGTGACTGCGTACCACATTTGAACGTAACACAGGACGTCTTTGTACAGAATTTCCATTGGAACAACCGTCACCCTGCCTTATTCAGGACAAAAACATCATCAAATTCGTTTCAAATCAAAATGATTTCACGAGAAGAGCGCCGCCTCAACAATTAAACGAGTATGCGGCCACGCTCACCCACGAAAATTGACCAGCATTCGTAAGAGAAGACCTGATGAGCAGATGTGTGTTCTCCATTTTAGTCCAGGTCCCCTATAGGAAACTGAATGCTACCAGATCAATGGAAGGGGGCACGATAATTTGGTTCCCTCCAGAAAACGGAAGTGCAGAAGCAGAGTAGTGTGAAAGTGAAGCCAAAACGGGAGAAACGGCTGACTACACCCGAGATAGTGCCCTTGAAAGGAAGTGGGTGAACATAACACAGGAGGGAGATGGATCGCGACCCTGCAAGGTCTCCAGTAATGACATTTTCTTTACTAGTAAGTAGTTACCTCTTCGAATCAATCAGATCAAACCCTGAAGAAGTGGAAAAACAATCTTTATCAGCAGGAGATGATTGAGGACAGTTGGTCCGATCGCGATTAGTCGCTGGCCGATGTGAACACTTGTAAGCGTGCGGGTGCGAATTCTGGCGAGAGTGGAGAACGGCTATTTAAGCCTTGCTGAGACGCATAGAGAGCGCACTTTATTGGAAAAGGCGCCATGCAGCACCTGCTTAGCGGTGCGGCATTTTTTCCTGCTATATACAGTCCTCATCATTACGTACTGTCGGGGCGGCACAGCCGCGCTGCACTGTGACGCGACAGCTCGGCTGCGGCTCGGTGACGGTGAATCAGCTGATTTCGATGGAATTCGGCTGCAAATTCCCACTTTTTCAGCTCTTCAAGCTTCTAAAGTGGAAGGTGAGTTATTCTGACCAATTTTGAATTGTACTGGCTCTGATTTCCTTTATTTTTATGTCGATTATTATGCTCTTTTCCTTGTATTTTGCCTTATTTCAGGCATTTATTCAAATGGCTTACATTCTTTCAGATTCATTCAGAGTCAGTACAATTCTAAATTGGTCAGAATAACTCACCTTCTTTTTACAAGCTTGAAGAGCTGAAAAAGTGGGAATTCGCAGCCGAATTCCATCGAAATCAGCTGATTCACCGTCACCGAGCCGCAGCCGCTGTCGCGTCACAGTGCAGCGCGGCTGTGCCGCCCCGAGTACGTAATGATGAGGATTGTATATCTACCCTACACGCCTAGTCGATTGATCGTTCAAGAGCGTGATAAATACCAACAACGTTATCAGTTCAAGCAGAGATGAGGTGTTAGGAAGTGTGATGTACTATTCAGTCGCACGATAATTTAGTTGCTGTTCTGAAATGTAGAGATGCTGAGTACTAGAAAAGAAAAAAAAACGAAGAGATGCGGGAAGCTAGCAAAAAAGCCCTAGTTCTACCCGGCAGTGGACGAGCATAGGACTAAGAAAGCGCTCGTTTGTATTTTGAATTTCCACCTGACGTCATGCCCACATCCACTCCGGTAGATATACCCGCATACATACAGAGCGTGCAACCTAAAGAGATGTCATAAGTGAACGATACGGGTTGCAGCATAGCCGCTGTTGATACCGATACTAATAGGGAAGGGTGTTCATGTAATAGCTGGGACTCCTTGCTAGCAGGGTCCTGCTATGACTTTTGCTAACCGTCATGAAAGATGGCTTTCCTTTAGCTGGGGTTCTTACCCCATGAGCATAGTCCAGTTATCGTGGTATATGTCTTTGAATTGACCTGAACTAACCACTCATTAGGCATACAGTCCTGCAAGGTCGGCTCAATGAAGCAAGCCAAACAATGACGTAGTTATCAGATGAAAGGCAAACTGTGCACTAGCCCCCTTGGATCCCGGTCTTTGTCGTGTCTGGGGTGGATCTGCGGCTGCAGCAGCGTGCTACTTTCTCCAGTCAAAAATGCACAGGAACGACGCTGGAGGGTAGTGATACCTAGGTGCCGTCTGAGTACTCTGCCCGCGTTGCTGCACGACCAGCATACGCCTGACAGCAGCCTGACGCGCTGCTTTTCTGTGACCACATCTGGAAAATCTCTACCACTGTGTGCGTATTTCGCTGAT